AAACGAACTTCACGATGCTAGCAAGCCGACTGCCTGGCGGAATGGGACAAAACATCTGGAAAAGCTCCTGGCTGCGCAGTTTGAGAAGCAGTTTATGAATTACAACCGATACAAGTGTTACACCAAAAAAAAAAAAATCCCCTCTACTGGCTGATCTATTTCGTTTGAACGATGCCTTTTCTTTTCTAAAAACCATCTTAACCGAAATTACTTCCAAAAAAATGTTATGGAAACCGAAAAAAATGCTCAAATATTTCTCGCATGCTTCTCCCAAAAGACGCGTAATGCTCACGTATCATACTAGATGATAGCGCACTCGCTACGGCTAATCGAGACCTACGGCCCGGAACAGGACAGCAAAATCGGTCCAAGAAGCAATCGGCGCATGACGAATAGGAAAGTGTGCCTGACGGACCAGATGATGCCGAGATGTGGGATGTCGCCGCCGCCGCTGCTCCTTTATGATGAAAACCATTCGATGATAGCGAAGTTGGTGATGAGCATCGGCTACCGTTCAGTATTTTCAGTGGTGAATTCTTCAGATGCGTCGGAACTGGTGGTGGCGGTGCAGGAGGAGCCTGAAAATTAACTTTTTGTGCATTACCCTCCTTTTTTTGCATTTGAAAAGCTGCAAAAAAGATTCAACAGAAACTTGTCTCAAGGGCAAGATTCCCTCTAAAGGACATGGGGGAAGCAGCCGAACCTTGTTTCAAGGGCAAGATTCCCTCTAAAAGACATGAAGCGCAGCACCGAGAACTGCAAATGTAGGGAAAAATGATCCCGAAAAATACATCCTGGAGAAATGCAGAAACGAACTGTTGCTATACCACCCCACAAAGGCGACTCTCGAGAATGAAATTTAGGCCTCAGTCCAAACATCAACGCCAAAAATCATTCCATACTTACTCCCAGATAGAGGACAAATACAGAAAATTGTACACGAATCTGTTCGCATCACCTGCTGACATCAAACCACCTTCGTTTATATAGTGTTATTGCTAATCATTGAAGCAAAATCAAAATATTAATTGATATTTTCGTTGTTGTTTCTTTTGAAAAGAGAATTTCTAATTTTTTAAGTGCAAAAAGCCT